GCATTTTTTATCTTTCGGAACTCTCTCCACTTCAACTAGCTTATCTAATTTGTTGGCGTGCAATTGTTCCTACTATTCCGCATAATCTATTTATTTCTGTTAGGTTGTATTACTATCTCATCTTTCATTTCTGAATTTTGTAATTTGTGTTTCTATTTTATTTTAGCCTGGCTTAGTTTGTTTTTCTTTTCCCTGAAAATTTAGGCTAATTTTTTGGGAACTTTCTTCTTTCCTAGTGTGTATGTATATATATATATAGCTTTACATTTGCTTCTAAGAACTTCGTTAGCCACATCCTGTCAAGTTTGGGATCTTATATTTATTTTATTCATATTAAAGTACTTTCAATTCTCTTTGAGACATTTTTCTTTGACCCATTTGTTATTTAGAAGTGTTTTGTTTGAAGCCAGTGCTATGACACAGCTGCCTTCAATGTCAACATCCCATATGGGCTCTGGTTCAAGTCCTGGCTGCTCCACTTCCTATTCAGCTCTCTGCTAATGTGTTTAGGAAAGCAGTGGAAGATGTTCCAAGTATTTGTGCCCCTAACACCCATGTGGGAGACCTGGATGGAGTTTCAGGCTCTGTTTTGGCCATTCTAAATAGGGAATTAATGAAAATGAGTGATTGAGAGGGTCTAGCCAGGTGAGAATGTGGGAGAAGATTGGACAGAATTGATGATGAGTCAATAAACATTTCCAACAACAAATCCTTCCCAAGCATGCCTTGCTAACAGCATATCAGATAAACAGAAAGGACTGGGCAGCCAACCATTTGCAACATAATTGATATCAGAGATGTGAATAGAGAAAGCCTTGGCGCCATAGGTGGCCTTGGTTTGCTAAAAGGTTTAGTACAACAGTCAACACAGACTCCTGCTGCACTCTGGCCTTCCATACTCACCTGCCACACTCTCCTCTTTCTCTCTCTCTCTCTCTCTCTCTCTCTCTTTTGTATTTTTTTTAATTTGTTTGTATGTATCTCGTAAGTACAACATTAGGAACATAGTAATTCTTCCCACTGCCCCCACCCTGCCACCTACTCCCTCCCCGCTTCTTCCCTCCTCTCCTGTTTGGTCTGAAAAAGAAAAGGAAACAGAAAGAAAGAAAAAAACACAAGAGAAAGAATGGAGTGAAAAAACTAAGGAGAGCAGTTTCCCAGCAGTCTAAATGAGGGCTGTTCTTTGTTACTGCTCCTGCAAGGTGTTTCCCCCTTTCCCTTCTTCTTTCCCCTTCCTTCCTCCCCTTTTCTTTTTGAAACTTAATTGTCTTTCAAGAAGAACCCAAGGGTGATACACCGTTTGTGAACTCTTGGACATGACTAGGGGTTCTGAGACAGATATAATACTATCCTCCTTTTAATACTCTGCAAGGAAGTGATCCTTGAGAACAAGTTTTACTGTTAAATCTCATGACACAACTCTGTGGACAGAGGTCCTGCGTGGGAAGTTAGTGCACAGTGACTCTTGCTGTCATTTAACAAAGAACACTCCTAGGTATGGCGTCAGTGATCACCCAGGGCTCTTGACATGAGCTGCCTCGGTTGCGGAAGCTTTTTCGGATGCACTGGCTCGACAAGGCCTCGACAAGGCCGCTCCTCCCTCCAGAGGAAAGCGCCTCCATCTTTTCAGCTTCTCCTTTACAGCAGGGTCAGTTCCCTCAATGAAGGGAACGCCACGCCACAGTCATCCTTCTAAGGTTAACTCGTAATTTATTTTTGTTACTTCAGGGTATTTAAAATATATGGATGAATACATCACTCTATAGTACTTGTGTCCTAGAGTTTTCCAGACATAGGCTGTAACTCTGAATACCTAAACAAAGGTCTGCTTACAACAGCGTTCACATTGAGTATGGACAGCTGAAGGGAAGGGACTTTTTGTTTACAGGATTACAGAATAATCTGGCCCTCCTATACATCTTTGTAACTACATCCTCGGCTCACTGTCAGACACCACTAAAGGAAAAGTAATTTCTTTGCCATACATAAGGAATCAACGAGGAATCCTATTTACGGGACCACAGTGACAATTCTAAATCTGATTCCCAAAACCTCCGACAAATTTGTAAATCCAGCTGGAGGTTGTTTTTTATTCTCCTTAATTTTTGTTTTAGCTGGCTCTAGCTTTTCAGATACTTTGGTCTATTTTAACCAAACCATTAGAAAATCTCTCAGCAAAATATCTGTTCCAGAAAACTCTGAATGCACTAAGTGCTGACCTGAAGGAAAAGAATGGAAAACCTTTCCCTTCTCCTGAAACAAGCCTTGAAGAATTAGCACTGAGTGGCCACAGAGCAGCTCAAGTGCTGCTGGCGTGTGTTCCACGCAGAGATGGGAAGGCTCTCTCTGGAGCACGGCCCTGCCTGTCACTGTCACAACACTGTGACTCATGCTCTCAGACCGTATGGCAACAGAGGACCCTATGCTCAAACACCATTACTCTTCATTAAAAACCCTGGGCAGTGATTTGAACTTGTGCTGATTTAAGCTAAACATCTGGAGGATTACAATGTAAAATATGTATATGCAGTGTATCTCACAGCATAGTAACTGGCAGAGAAGCCAACAAGCCTTTGATGGAAGAGGTGTACAATGGTATGGACGCATCAGGCTTATTGCGATTGGGTGTGGGGGATCACAGCTAAATATTCACTGCTTCATAAAAGACAAAATAGGGGCCAGCATCGTGGCGCACCAGGTTAATCCTCCACCTGCGGCGCCGGCATTCCATATGGGCACCGGTTCTGGTCCCAGTTGCTCCTCTTCCAATCCACCCTGCTGTGGCCTAGGAAGGCATTGGAGGGTTGCACAAGTACTTGGGCCCCTGCACCCGCATGGCACCTGGCTCCTGGCTTTGGATTGGTGCAGTGCGCTGGCCATAGCAGCCATTTGGGGGGTGAAGGGAAGGAAGACCTCTCTCTCTCTCTCTCATTGTCTAACTCTGCCTGTCAAATAATAATAATAAAAAAAAGACAAAATATTTTGTTTTCCCTTGCTACTTGTTAAGTTCTTCTGTTACTGGGAACATACTTTAGAAACAGCTCTACCACATCAGTTAGAATGGCCTGAGAATCAAGAATCCAGGTCATTTATTCCAAGATGAGGTAATCACATTGATGTAATACTATGAGTAATTTATCCTCAATGACTAACTCTCCCACATTGCTCTCTTCTTATTTAGTACCTATTAAACATAATTTATGCACCATTTCTAGCTCTGCTTAAAATGTAGCTTAGACATTATGTTGTCTTATATATTTTTGAACTTGCTTAAAAGTAATAGCTGAAATTAGTGATATCTGAGATTTTAATAGAAATCAACTACTGACACATATCTATAACAACTTAGAATTCCAAGTCTCACAAACCCATGAGCAAACTTACCCGTATCTGAAGTAAGTATTGAACTGCCTGCAGAGGCGATGGGCGAGTTCCCGTTTCCCACAAGCTTGAGGACCAGCTAACACCAACATGGGGTAAGGAGCGTCCAGGCTGGGCAGAGTGCTGCAACACACAGGAGCCTGGTCAGTCCCTGATGCCAGTCAGAGACACAGTGCACTGACCACACTCACTGGAGTCTCTAGGTCGCAGGCACAGTTAACTTAGCACTTGCTACAGAAGGAGAAAACCACTTTTCAGAAACAAGTTGATTACATTATACTAAAACCCACATTCAAAACACATAAATAGAGGAAAATGAAAACTCATGTAAATTCACTTTAATAAGACATTTCCAATAAAAATATAATTCTTGATTGCTGGAGTAATACATTTCTCCCAGAACTTATCCATGAAAGAAATAAGACTGTCCTCTGAGAGCTAAAAGTTTAACATCTGTACCTCCTGAATTAGAACACAGATATGCAAACCAGACTTAACAGTAACAACCAAAGCTTACCAGAGCGATTGCTGTGTGCCAAGCACTATTCGAGGAGTTCTATACGTATTACCTCTTTAATTACCACAGAAAGATAATGGAGAAGTTCCTGTCGTTATCCTCATTTAACACACCAAGAAGCTGAAGTTCAGAGGTTAATTAACATGCTCCCAGTAATATCTAATAAGGAGAGCTGGCGTATCAACTGAGGCAGACTAAATAATCAATTTATTAACAATCACTTATTAGTTCACAAATATGCAATGATGTACTATTTTAATTATTATATATAATTTAACATTTCATAATTTAGTACTAATTTACTAATTAATGAAATCTATAATACACTGATTTGGACTCCATTCATGGTAAAAATTATAGAAATATGGAAGGAAATACAATTTTAAAAATATACATGCAAGAGGTATGGATTCCGTGAAGATGAAAATGTCAATTCTATGAAGATTCTGCAAAAACTATGAAACAGCATAGTTGTTCAAATTTTCTGAATACCCACATAAAAACAGAAAAATATGAGAGCAAAGGCCTACAGAAAATATCTATGACAAAAATCAAGTAAAAAGGTATCTCCACAAACCATAAAGCTGCAAAGTCTGCGTGGAGGCGGAGTCTGTGCAGGAGAAAGAAGGAAGCAATGGGGAGGCATCTGACAAGCTAACAACAAGGAAACCCCGAAACAGCCACCAGGAACTGTGTGGCAAAAACTATACATACATTAAAAACCCATCCATGAATGCCTGTAGCAACTTTACCTGTAATAGCCAAAAACTACTGCCAGTCCATAAGTCCTGCAACAGGGGAACTATTACACTAACTGTGACACATCCATACGTGGACTAAAACTCAGCAATTAAAACGAACAAACAAACAAACAAAAAAAACAAGGAGCTACTGTTACAAGCCACAACGTGGATGAATTTCCAGGAAATTATGCTGACTGGGAAAATCAGCCAGTCCCATAGGTGACCGAGTATGATTCTATTCACATAACATTCTTGAAAGGGCAACACTGTAGAGATGGGGCAGGGTCAGTAGTTGGGAAGGTAAAGGAAAATGAGAGGGAGAGGAGCAGTGGCTCTAAGGTATCAGAACAGATCCCCCTGATGAGGCTGCCCTCCGTCCTCACTGCAGTGGCACTCAGATCCCTCGATACATGAGGAAACTGCACAGATGTAAATAGAGTCACAGACATGCAAGAGTGCATGCAAAACCGGTGAGATCCGGTTAGGCGGGTGGGCTTCCAGTTCTGCTTTCCGGTTTTGATAGTCCACTGCAGTCATGCAAGTTGTCACCACTGCAGGGAACTTGGTGAAAAGTATTTCATTTTCCTCTATTATTTCTTAAACTGCATGTGAATCTGCAATGATCTCCAAATAATTCTTCAATAAAGAGAAAGAAGGATTATACGAAAGCAACAAATATAAAAAAAGGTAAGGGAGATCTTCCTGAAGAAGAAAACCAAAGCAAAGAAACAGAAAATATATTAAAGAATACCAAATGTTTCCTGAATTAAAAAGAGTAAAACAAAACAACACACTGAAAGGGCGCACCTTGTACCTGAACCATCAGCCTGGATCTACCTGGACTAGGACAGAGTCTAGTAAAATTACCAGACCTTAAGGAAAAAAAAGGAAATCTTTTGTTCACCCAGAAAAAGGCAATGTGATTTATAAGGGAAAGAATATTAAATCGTCATGAGATTTTTGACAGCAATGTTTTATGCCAAAATAAGATGGACTTACATCTTTAACATATTCAAGAAAAATGTGTGAGTTATGAATTTTACATTATAAGCAAAAATGGCTGTAAAATATAATGGGTACCAATTATTATCAATGTGTAAGAACTTCCTAAGGAATCTACTAGAAAACAAGCTTCATACAACCAAAATTACTCAAGAGACAGCAATACAGACATTTTAGTGAGCAATAAATATGTAGCTGGCTACTCACAGAACTAAGACTCAGAACAAGAAGGATGGCTACATGGTCTGGTAATACAAGTCTGCTCGTCTCCTTATTTATTTATTTATTTATTTATTTAAGATTTATTTACTTGAAAGTCAGAGTTACACAGGAGAGGCAGAGAGAGAGAGGGAGAGAAGTCTTACATCCACTGGTTCACTCCCCAGATGGTTGCAACTGTTGGAGCGGGGCCGATCCGAAGCCAGGAGCTAGGAGCTTTCTCCAGGTCTCCCACACAGGTGCAGGGGCCCAAGGGGAGAGCTGGATTGGAAGTGGAGCAGCTGGGACCTGAACCAGTGCCCATATGGGATGCCAGCACTGCAGGCGGTAGCTTTACTCACTGCGCCACAGTGCCGGCCCCAGGGTCTACTACTTTTAAATGGGATGTGGGGCTGGCACTGTGGCGCAGCAGGTTAACGCCCTGGCCTGAAGCGCCGGCATCCCATATGAGCCTGGTTCGAGACCTGGCAGCTCCACTTCTGACCCAACTCTCTGCTATGCCCTGAGAAAGCAGTAGAAGATGGCCCATGTCATTGGGCCCCTACACCTGTGTAGGAGAGTAGGAGGAGACTCCTGGATCCTGGCTTCGGATTGACACAGCTCTGGCAGTTGTGGCCAACTGGGGAGTGAACCATCGGATGGAAGACTTTCTCTTCTCTATCTCTCTCTCTCCAGGGAAAGAACCATCGGATGGAAGACACCCCCCCCCCGCCCCCGCCCCCGCCTCTCTGTCTCTCAGTTGCAGCCAACTGGGGAGTGAACCATGGGATGGAAGACCTCTCTCTTTCTCTCTCTTTCTCTCTCTCTCTGTGTAACTCTTTCAAATAAATAAATAAATAAATCTTTAAAAAAATAAATGGGGTGATTAATACCCATATGAAATGTACAGACTAGGCCAATGTATAGAGGCAGAAAGCAGATTGGAGGCTATCAGGGACTGGGAGAAGAGGAGATCAGGACACTACTGCTTAATTAGTGGTTTCTGTTTGGGGTAGTGAATATGCATTAGAAAGAGAGGGTGGTTAGTACTTGTACAACGTTGTGGGTGTGGTTCATGTCACTGAACTGTAACTTAAAAATGGTTAAAGTGGCCAATTTTATGTAATATGTTTTCCTACCATAAAAAATGAGGAATTGAATGGACAGCGCAAAGGCACAAAAAATTCAATGTTTTCAGTAACGATGTTGATGGTAGTACTAGTATTGGTATTTTCATATCATTGTGATATAATATGGAATTTTTAAAATGAGTAATTAAGAGACCTTCTAATTTCATCTTTCTCTGTGTCCTTGAGAACCAGGATTCTTGGTGTGAAAAGCTAAGCAAAAGCCTAACTGGCCTTGAGTTACAGTAAGTATCAGTATGAATTCAGGAAGTATCTAACCCATCTACTTACAGAGAGTCAGAAATAGATCTATCTAGACATATGAGACTGGAGAGACAGAGACAGATTGGGCTGGTGTAGCTGATAGGTACTCCTAGACAAGACAGGATGGATGGAGGGAAGCAAGAAAATGTGTTTTCAGCCCTTTCCTCTAAAAAGCCTAGAAACAGTGAATAATGCAGTAGCGCTGCACATCCTGGCACCCAGCTTGGGATTGGGAAATACCGTTTCTCGCTGAAATTGAGGCTTCCTGGAGACATGGCGAATTCCAGACTCGGAACAGGACATGAACAAGACGCGCCTGGGGAACTGCGTCATACCAGACGGCAAAGAAGCTATCGAGGACTTCCAAGCCAGAGCCAAAGTTTGGCCCCATCATCTTAAAACTGCATCCTCTTCGCATCCATGCCAGGGGAGGAGGCAGTGATCCCCCCGTCTTGCAGCACACAAACCGCAGGGCAAGTAGTCCAGGCTCCGCTCCCGGCGTCTGACTTCTCATGTTTCCAGAGAGCTGTGTACTAGCCCAGAGTGGGAGGGCCAATGGCAGGCCTACATGCTAGCTTCTGAACTGAACTGAACATGGCTCCCCCTGGCACATCCAGGCCTGCTTGACCTTTGTTCTTGTTTGCCTGACAGCCAGAGATAATCAAGAAGTATATCTTTATCAAACACTCCTGCATGCTTCTTTGCCACATATTTTTATATAAATTTACCCTAAGGCAACTAGCAATATCATAAACTAGAAAAGAAATGCAGTGAGTATATAAATGCCCTTCTTTTAAATCAAATGTGCATTTCCAGATGCAGGCAAATAAAGAATAAATCATTATAGCAAGAGGGCTCCCATAAACATATAAAACTGTCAATGTCTACATTATTAAATTATATGTAAAAATCATGTCCTGAGATGCAAAATAAAACATTTTTTTTTCTCTCTGTGGGAAACCAACCATGTGAAATACAGAAGCAAATACCACATGAAGAAGAGAAGCCATTTATATCCAAGAGATTTTACAAGTATTTTTAAAGTGCCTTTGGGTATTGATAGAACGTCTGCATTATACTTATAGCATAAATGGCCATCTGCTCCAACAGATTGTTTAAAAAGAAATGGAGAAACCGTGATAAATCTGTCTTCGAATTTAGAGGTGAGAGACTCTATTCACGTCTTCATCCAGGCTGGGTGAATCTTCCCTGCTGGGCTGATTGCAACTCAGGGAAGAGACTATTTCAGGTTTCCCTTAGGCTAGCCAGGCTCCCTTCTAGGAACTCCCTAATAATCTGCATTCATGAAGGCTCTTCGCAGAAGTATTTAGCATTCACTCACAGCTACGGAAAAATTTACAATGGATATAAATGATCACAATTTTCTGTTAATGAGGTTAAAAGCTGTTTCTTTCCTAAGAAAAGTTGGGGGCCTGGTGCTGTGGGTAGCAGGTGAAGCCACCACCTGCAGTGCCGGCATCCCATATGGGTGCTGGTTCGAGTCCCAGCTGCTCCACTTCCCATCTAGCTCTCTGCTATGGCCTGGGGAAGCAGTAGAAGATGGCCCAAGTGCTTGGGCCCCTGCATCCACGTGGGAGTTCAGGAAGAAGCTCCTGGCTCCTGGCTTCAGATCAGCCCAGCTCCAGCTGTTGCAGCCAATTGGGGAGTGAACCAGTGGATGTAAGACCTCTCTCTCTCTCTGCCTCTGCCTCTCTGTAGCTCTGCCTTTCAGGTAAATAAATAATTCCTTAAAAGTTGGTTAGCCAACTTATAAGGGCCCAGATGAAGGAATGAGGATGAATCAACCCATCATTCTTGGGAAAACACTAAGTGAGCAGTACATTCAGGTACACGCACGCCACAGCTGAGACAATGCAGGCATCAAAGAAAGACGTGCGAAGGTGAGAACGCAACATTTACAGGGAATGAGTGGGTCACAGAAGAGAGGGCTAGGGAAAACGGTGAGGCTGTCTTGCTTGCCCACTCTGAGTTCTCCCTGTGGGTTCCTAATCATACCTGTCAAAGATCCTCTGTGGGTGCATCGTGCTGTTGACAACATGCGTCAGGTGATCCCGGGCTGCGACCACTTCAGGGGGAGGGTCATATTTATTCACTGCGGCAACCTTTTCCAGGATTAGAATGTAAAAGGGAAAAACGATTTGTCTCTAAAAAGACAAGGCTTAGGTTTTCTTTATTAAAAGATTCTCGATACGCAACCAGGTATACAAAATAGTTTATCACGTGCCGTGAACTTTTGTATTCAGTCTTCACACTCCTACTCTAATTTTCCATAAACCTGGATAACAAGAATTATCTTAAACTATTGAGCAGAGTTCTTTGACACCCTCCTCCTTTATACTCCCTGGTTTGAGAGGGGAAAGGGCAGAAAGAAAGCAAAGCCTCTGAAGTTCATAACGACTTTTAATGTACTATCAGTCCAACTTCAGTGTGGAAATAGGAAAAGCAATTCACAGTTCTAGACTCCAGGCAGCTGGCGCCATGGAATTAATTCATCACGCCATCTCATCAAGAACTAGTCCCGAGATCTCAAATTTTATGAAAACTTCTTCCTCTTTCGGCATGGTTCTCTTTCCCTCTATGTTGCCATTCCTCTAAAGACATTATCCTCATCTCTCATATCTTTACTTAAGGCACGGTTTTAAATTGTATTCTGTTCATAAAATGTTAAAGCAAAAGACAAATCTAGTAAGTCCCGTTGAGTATAATAACAGGCCAGCTTCTGGAACTGTTTTTAGCTAAGACTTCAGATAGGCGCTGATGAGATGGGATACGTGCTTCTCCACATATTTAATACCTGCTTTCATCCCATCTGAAATTTGCACTCAGCGGATAAAATCCTCATTAGTAGAGATTTCAGCTGTCATCATCCACTAAAGGAAGACAAAACAGCTACCACAAACCATGGAAGGAGGGCAAGCGCTAGTTAGTGTTCAAGGGCCGGTTCCTCTGGTATCGTATGATCAGGCAGGTTATTTTTTAAAGATCAGAATTGAGATTTAATACCAGGGTAGTGATGTACTTGAGTATCTTTCAATTATCCATAGAATGACAATGTCACACCCTTTATTGTTATATGAGTTTTTAAAATAACACAGATAGAATCATTCATTCACCAAACAGAATAGCTACCCAAACTGGTACTCTGTCTTAACATTGCTGCCCATGCAAGGGGAAATCAAAGAGATGGTAGATGCACATTATGAAAAAACTACCCATGGATTTCCAAAAATTTTTTGCAACACAATAATCTTTTTATTCTGTTTTTCCACAAACTTCTGGAGTACCCCCACGTAAATAGAGTGCTGCTGCTTCCCACTGCCAAACCTTTCACTGGAAAAGCACAGGCCTTTCACGGCTTCTGTGCCTATGCTCAGCTTTGCAGAATGAAACTGAACAAGAAAAACATTTCCTAAATGAACAGTGAAGTTCCATGTTATTACGTGACTTTCTGATTGATTCACTGGTCCTGCAGCAGGGTGAGCTGTTGAGTATATGAATTCACAAACACAGAAATAACATGATTCCATACCTTTTCTTCCACTTTAATCTTCTTTAGATCTAATTCTGTTAATCGTAGTAGTGTAAAAATTACGAAGAGCCAATATTCAGATTTTTCCTATTCAAAATAGCAAGAACACTATTCAACCACTTGCCTTTGTCCAAATCCACAAGCATTAACAGCTATTTTCATGGGCTTAGGTCTTTCACCTGTTATCACTGTCAGTCCCACATAACCTCAGGGTCTCTACATTTTCACGCTTATCAGTTCCCTTATAGTAACAACTCACATGCAGACTGTGCCCTGTAACTTATAAAGTTCTTCACGTGTGTGGATCTTGTTCATCTCTCTGCGAGATAAGCAAGAGAGGTAGGATTACCCTCATTTCTAAAGAGAAAAACAACTAAGCCTCAGACAGGTAAACTATTCCATTCAAGATTCCATGGCCAGTAACTCAAACTCTGCCCTCCAAAGAATTTCTTATTACAAATAATGGAACTTTATTATTTTGTTATTACTTAGTTGTGTTATTCTGTATTAATCTGTACTATTAATTTGCCTTTCAACATTGATACTGATTTTTAAAACAAATTCCTTATTGTTCCCTACCATCTGCTACACTGGGATTATTTGTCTTTTAGAAACGATTAATTTTGTATTAAGAAGCTACATCTCTTTGAAGGAAAAAACATGGTGCACACTCTTCATGGATCTGAAACTGGGGTGACAGCACTTTAAGCCCCATTCATCACTTTCTCAGAGATAGGTTTAAATCACCTGGCAACAAAGCAAGTGTTTGGCCCAGCAGTTAAGTATTTGCATCCCGTAGTGTAGTGCCTGGGTTCAATGCGCACCTCTGACTCCGGAGTTCAGCTCCCTGCCAATGCAGATTCTGGGAGGCAGAAGTGACGGTTCATGTAGTGTGGATAACCTAGATTGAGTTTGCGGCTCCTGACTTTGGCCCTGCTCCAGCCTTTGTGGGCCTTCAAAGAGTGAAACAGTGGATGGGAGCCTTCTTTTTGTCTATATATCTCTGTTTTTTATTTTTTAAATAAATAAAAATAAATTGCCTGCCACTTTCATACCAAGGGCTATATTGATTTTTAAATCTTTACTTTTTTTTTTTTTTAATTATTTTGTTTTTTCGCCTGTCTGGACATGTCATCAAGACACAAAAATACAGGTACGCAGACATACATACCAAGCCCAGTCTATAAAACATTAACTGAAGGACAGTTAATGGGAAAAATGGGATGAAGGACAGACAGACAAAGAAGGAAGCAGGAAGGGAGGGGAAGTAGGTGGCCAGGAAAAGGATCTATGAATGTAGGGGGTAGAGGAGTCTGAAAAACCAGTTCCAGATCCTTAATCAGAGGTCAGGAACCCCTAGGAAGTATATTATTTTCTCCTATAATTATTTTACAACCATGCCAATTTCACAGCTATATCAAATCCAAGTTACTTTAAGCACCTCATCTTAGATTTTCTTTCTCCTGGCATAAAATAGGAACCATATTCTTTCCACGCCTCTGGTGTCTTGCATCTCTAATGCAAAAAAACCACTCTTCTACAATCTCATCTCCACCCTATGATCTTTAGTACTAGCAGAGATGAGCTGGAAATGACCAAGCAGAGCAGGTCAACACTGGACTCTTCTGTTTCAAATGAAGACAAACAAACGATTAATATTCCTAGTGTTCTTTGTCAAGAGAGTTTCTTAAAGAAGAAAAAACCAAGATACTCCTTTTCTCCCCTTCCTGGACTTAAATGATCTCTCACCTGAATTGGATTTCTTAGGAGATTCAGAATTCGAAGGATAGGTAGATTTTCAATGTAATATATTTCACTCAGCTCAGCAATCTGTTTAATTAAAGACAAATTATTATAAACAGAGGAAAGGCACAAATAGAACACATTAATATGAGCTCATTTGGACACTTTAAATTCAACGTATTTTTAAAACTACTATGTTTATTTCTGTGGTATCCGTTGTAACATCTCATTTTTCATCTCTGATTTTATTAATTTGGGTCTTCTTCCCCACCCCCAATTTTTAATTAGTTGGGCCAATGGTGTATCAATTTTGCTCATTTTTTCAAAAAACTAGCTCTTCTTTTCACTCATATTTCATAGTTTTTGTTTCAATTTTGTTTATTTCTTCTCTACTTTTAACTACTTCTTCCCTCTTCCTGATTTGGGGCTTGGTTTGTTCTTGTTTTTCCAGGTCCTTCAGATGCATTGTCAGATCATTTATTTGAAGCCTTTCTGATTTCTTGATGTAGCCACTTATTCCTATAATCTTTCCTCTTAACGCTGCTTTTGCTATCTCCCGGAAGTTTTGATAGGTTGTGTTGTCGTCTTCATTCGTTTCTAGGAATTTTTTGTTTCCCTTCTGATTTCTTCTATAATTCACTGTTCATTCAGGATCATGCTATTTGGGGTCCATGTGTTTGCATATTTTCTAGAGCTTTTTAACTTGTTAATTTCCAGCTGCATTTCACTGTGGTTAGAAAAGATACATGCTATGGTTCCAAGTTTTTTTAATTTGCTGAGACTTGCTTTATGGCCTGGCATATGGTCTATCCTAGAGAAAGTTCCATGCACTGATGAGAAGAATGTGTATTCTGCAGCTGTGGGATGAAATGTTCCAAAGCTATCAATTAGGTCCATTTAGTCCATAGTATAGATTAGGTCTGTTGCTTCTTTGTTGATTTTTGTCTACTTGATTTGATAAAGCACAGTGTTGAAGTCCCCCATTATTATTCTATGAGAGCTTATGTCTCCCTTTAGCTCTATTAACATTTGTTAACAGATAGGACAGAAATAAAAAAATAATCATCAGGAATTACTACCAACAGCTATATGCTAACATATAGAAAAATCTAGAAGAAATGGATGGATTTCTGGACACATAAAATCTACCAAATTTGAGTCATGAAGACACAGAAAACCTAAGTAGACCAATGACCAAGACAGAGATTGAATCAGTGATAAAGATCCCCTCAACAAAGAAAAGCCCAGGGCTGGATGGCTTCACTACTGAATTCTACCAAACTTTTAAAGAAGAACTAACTCCAATTCTTCTCAAACTATTCAAAACAATTGAAAGGGAAGGAATCCTTCCAAACTCCTTCTATGAGGCCAAGGTCACCTTAATTCCAAAACCAGAAAAAGATACAACAAATAAAGAGAACTACACACCAATACACCTGATGAACACAGACCCAAAAATATTCATCAAAATACTAGCTAACAGGATCCAACAACATATCAGAAAGATCATTCACCTAGACCAACTGGGATTTATCCCTGGTATGCAGAGATGGTTCAACGTATACAAATCAGTAAATGTGATACGTCACATTAAAAATTGAAGAATAGCAACCCATGATTATCTCAATAGATGCAGAGAAAACATTTGATAAAATATAATGTCCTTTCATGATAAAAACCTCAAGCAAATTAGGCATAGAAGGAACATTCCTCAATGTGATCAAGGCTATGTGTGACAAATCCAGAGCCAGGATCATACTGAATGAGGAGAAGTTGGAAGCATTTCCACTAAGATCTGGAAACAGACAAGCCTGCCCACTCTCAGCATTGGTATTCAATATAGTTCTTGAGGTTTTAGCCAGAGCCATTAGGCAAAATAATAATAATAATAATAATAATAATATCAAAGGGATATAAATTAGAATGGAGGAAGTCAAACTATCCCTCTTTGCAGATGACATGATCCTATATAGAGAGGAACCAAAAGATTCCACTAAGAGAGAACTGGAATTCCTAAGAGAGTTTGGTAAAGTTATAGGACATAAAATCAACACACAAAAATCAATGGCTTTTGTGTACACAAACAATGCTATGGCTGAGAAAGAACTTGTAAGATCAGTCCCATTCACAATAGCTACAAAAAATTTAAATACCTTAGAATGAATTTAACCAAGGATGTGAAAGATCTCTATAATGAAAATTACAAAACATTAGAGAAAGAAATGGAAAATGCACAAAAATGGAAGAATCTTCCATGATTTTTAATTGGAAGAATTAATATCATCAAAATGTCCATATTACCCAAGCAATTTATAGATTCAATGTAATCCCAATCAAAATACCAAGGACATTCTTCTCAGCTCTAGAAAAAACAATGCTAAAATTCATATGGAAACATAACAGACCCTGCATAGCTAAAGAAATCTTAAACCACAAAAACAAAGCTGGAGGCATCACAATACCAGATTTCAAGACATACAGGGCAGTTATAATCAAAACAGCCAGGTACTGGCACAAAAATAGACATGTAGACCGATGGAACAGAAGACAAACTCCAGAAATTAATGCATGCAGTCTATCAACTGATCTTTGACAAAATCAGTCCCCGGAGAAAGGACAGTCTTCAACAAATGATGCTGGGAAAATTGAATCTATGCATGTGGAAATATGAAACAAGACCCCTATGTTACAGCTTATACAACATTCAACTCACATTGGATCAAGGATCTAAATTTATGACCTGATACAAACAAATTACTCTAGGAAAATATCAGGGAAGTTCTTCAAGACATTGGCATACGCAAAGATTCTTGGAAAAGACCCCAGAAGTACAAGCAATAAAAGTAAAAATGGGCAAATGGGATTACATCAAGCTAACAAGTCTGCAATGCCAAGGAACACTCCACAAAGTGAAGAGACAACTGACAGAATGGAAGAAAATATTTCCAAACTATCCAACTTGATAAAGGATTAGTATCCAGTATATACAAAGAGCTCAAGAAACTCAATAACAACAAAATAATCATGAAATAGGCAAAGGATATGAACAGGCTTTTTTCAAAGAATGAAAAACAAATGGCCAACAGACATATGAAAAAATGCTCAAGATCACTAGCCATCAGGGAAATGGAAATAAAAATAAAAATGAGCTTTAACCTCACCCAGGTTAGAATGGCTCTCATACAGAAATCAAAAAACAATAAATGCTGGCAAGGATGTCAGGGGAAAAGGTACCCTAATAGACTGTCGGTAGGAATGTAAACTAGTACAGCCATTATAGAAAACAGTATGGAGATTCCTCAGAAATCTGGAAGTAGATCTATCATGCGACTGAGCCATCCCAGTCTTGGGTATTTACCCCAGCAAAGTGAAATCAGCATATGAAAGTTACTTGTACCCCCATGTTTATTACAGCTCAACAGCTAAGATATGGAATCAATCCAGATGTCTATCAGCTGATGATGGGATAAAGCAAATAGGACATACTCAGCCATAAAAAGAACGAAATCCTGTCTTTTGCAACAAAATGGATGAAATTGGAGGTCATTATGCTTAGTGAAGTAAGCCAGTCCCCAAAAGACAAATACCATGTTTTCTTTTATGTAGTAGTTAATATAGTAGCTAATATTTATCATATGTTTTCTCTGATGCAGGAGTTAATATAGAATACCAAAAAATACATTAAGAGTGAAATGATGAGATTTGATTGTTGTTTTAAATCTGGTTTCTACTCCTGTGGAACTATAGTCTATTTTTTACTTACTTAATATTATGGTTAGTGGTGTATTAAGCCTGTGATTATAGAATGGACTGAAATTATGTTTTTGCAAAAATTTTTAAAAAAAGGAAGGAAGGAGAAGGGATTAAGGGAAGGGAAAAAGAGAGAGAGGGAAATATGGTTATCTTCTCAGAATTGTACTCATGAAATCTGTTCTCTTTATATTAATAAAAATTATTTTAAAAATTGCTCTGCTGAGTATCTAGCGTTCTAATGAGAATTCCACAGAGCTATGCAGAACAAGGGACTGACTGCACGCTCCATCAATAAACGGGAATGAGCACCTTTTCCTATCTGGCCAGAGAACAGTAAAGCCCCGCCTCTGATCCATATTTATTTTAAGGTGGAAATAAACTGGTAGATAAAATCAGAGAAACAGGGGCTGGCACTATGGCTCAGCAGGTTGCGCTTGATCTGTAGGGCTGGCATCCCACATGGGTGCTGGTTTGAGTCCCAGCTGCTCCACTTCCAATCCGGCTCCCTGTTAGTGCGTCCGGGGAAAGCAGCAGAAGACGGCCCAAGTGCTTGGGCCCCTGCACCCACGTGGGAGACCCAGAGGAAGCTCCTCGCTCCTGGCTCCTGGCTTCGGCCTGGCCCAGCTCTGGCTATTGCAGCCATTCAGGGAGTGAAACAGCGGGTAGAAGATTCTTTCTCTCCTTCTCTGTAACTCTGTCTTTCAAATAAATAAACGAATCTTTTTTTAAGTGAAAAACAAATCAGAGAAACAATAAAAATACATATAAGGGCAACCTGATTACGCACCTCAACACTCATCCCTGTTCCTAGGCCTCAGTCCCCCAACTCCCCCCCACTTAACTTAGCTACCCTGCTACCCTGGTCTCATTAACTGATTCAGCCTTCTTATTCCATCTGTATGTGTGTGTGATTCTATCACTTTTTCCACAAAACAATTATTTTAAGGTAAAAACTGAAAGCTATGCACAAACTTCTTGATGAGTATCCACTGTTCACCTTAACATGTTTGCTAAACTGCACACTGAAGTTCTACGTACTTCTCTGCATAGGTTATGTTCCACAGCTTTTAAAAGAGGAGAAAAAAGACTATTCCAAACTCAGGTTGAAGCAGGCCCTCAGTTCTCCACTAAAGACAAATAGTTCTGCTTAAATTTCCTGTAATTAGCAAACCTATAATTTTCTAAATATTTATTTATTTGAAAGGCAGAATTTACACACAGAGAGGGAGATACAGAGAGGGACAGACAGAGAGAGAAACAGATCCTCCATCTGCTGGTTCACTCTCTGAGTGGCTACAACAGCCATGCCTGGGCCAAGTGAAAGCCAGGAGCCA